TTTCATGCAAGAAGTGTATCCCCCCCCCGTAAACAATAAACATTTTTCTTGCCAATGCAAATGTAAATAAAGTGCACCATTAATATACCCATATTGTGGGTGGGTGCAACATTGTACTTGAGAAAGTGTGATTCAGGAAGCACAATGGGGAAAGAGTGTGGTGTGATTAATTGCTTTCTTGCCTATTGAGGAGAGGGAATTGGGGGACTTAAATAGGTATATCCATGTCAAAGAGTCAAATTATTGTTATTTCAGAAAGAAAGAAAGAAAGAAAGAAAGAAAGAAAGAAAGAAAGAAAGAAAGAAAGAAAGACTGTTTGCTATAGTATTAGCTGCTTGCCTTTAAACTGTTTATCAATGCATGGGCATTTGAGCCTTGACTGAACATCTTAAATATGCTTGACTCTGACTAGCCCCATCCTACCTGAAACATCATGTCTGGTATTGTATTGAATGTAGGTTGTTAGCCTAAGATCAATTTGATGAAAGCTGTTCAGTAACATAACTGGATTGCAATTAACAAAACCTCAGTTCTTTGCATGATTTAGGGTTGGCATTGTGGGAGAGCAGGGCTCTTGTGTGATAACAGCTGTGTGGCAGGCAGGAGTTCAACAGATTAAGGCTTTTAAGCATGGAAAGACAATTATGGTGAAAGCTTCCATTGATGGCATTCGGTCTTTTAAGACATCTGATTGCTTGTGTGTAGCCACTTTGTATTTCATTGTTTCTAAATTTGCATATGTCTTTAAATTAGCATGTGCACATTTGTGCTTGATTTTGAGGGTGAGGTGTCTGGCTAAATTGACATGCAGAAGATCCATGTTAGCACCCCTGATTGCAGATGTACCTTGAATTCACTAATCAATAAGGGTTCATAGACGGAATCAGTGCTTGCTCAGATTCTGAATACTTAATAAAGGTAGAGATCAGTTAATTTGTCAAGATACTATTTTTCTGATTAGAAAAGTTTAGCATCTGCTAGCATTTTGGAATGTGGATTAGCAATGCCTGGTAGTGGTTTAATTTTTGTGGATTGCTTAATGCATTTTAAATGCAATTATTGTAGCTTTGTTTCAAAGTAAAAGAAGAACAAAGCAAGGAAGAAGCTCAAAATCACCCTGCTCAAGTTACTAAAGGGATATCAATCTTATTCTTGGTACCTGACATCATTCAGAGTAAAAGGGGTCTGCATTTATTCTTGGGGATATACTCTGTGAAAAGTAGTAAGAAACAAGCAAGCAAGCAAGCAAGCAAACAAACAAACACAGAGCTCGGCAGGAGTGTGTGAATGAATGCAAAGCTAGTATTTGGGCATGGAAGATTAGAACTATCCCATGATATGCAGGGGCAAAGCTACCATATAAGCACTAATCTGTCAGCAGTTTGTGCATTTTCTCCCTTTAGTTGTGGTAAAACTGGTTATAATCATAAAGAGAGCAGATGGAAACGATTGCCTTTCTGTTTTATTAGAGGAAAAAATACACCAGGTAGTTTATAGGATAGCAAAATCCATGCTGCCTTTATTTTGCAAAGGCAAATAATAGCTTCCAAAGGAAGAGCATAAAACTGACATCCTGCCTTTGAGTATGTAGGCTGTCATTTGTAAAAATCAATTAAAAGTCTGGATGGAGCAGGAAATAATCAAATACTCATTTTTGCTTAGGCTAACAGGGCAAGCAAATTTGCTTGTTAGGTAAGGAATACAGTATTCCGATTTTGTTAAGCATCCTGTCCTGTCTTGAGAAGGATTTGTATATTCATCAGGGGCCACAGGAAGGACACAGTTTCCTGGGTGCCCCTACAGAGTGCAATGCAGTGCCCTGTAACACATCAGTTACTGTAAATGTCAGTAGAGAGAGGGTTGCTGGTTGTTTTTTTTACCAACTTTGATTTAGTGGGAGCCTACGGCCAAGCCAGCTGTTAGCACTTCTTAACTGCTTGTCAGTGAGTACCAGGCAGAGCAGGAAAGCATCATGGCTGTTCAGTTTTGTTTTGTGATTAAAAGAGGTAGGCAGGCACTTCTAACAAGCGCTGGCTTACTCTATTTGAACTGCCACCCCCTCTTTCTCTTGTGTTCCTCCCTTCCCTCCTTGAACTTGTCATTTCCCCCCAGAAAATATGCCTTGGAAACAATGACTCAAAGTCTGAAGGAGCCGGTTCATAATTCTTTTACCGTCTACATCTGTATATATCAATAATGAAGATGCAGTAAATTAATGTCTACCTATAATCAACTATACAAAGGAGCAGCAGATTGAATAAGGGCATCATGCATGCTCAATGAAAACAAAATTATCAAAGTTAGCATCTTCTGAGATCGTGGAAGCACTTGGAATATGCTCTGGAACAAGAACACTTGCTTAATAAAGCCACACGTATTTTTTTAAGCAAGTCTCCCCAAAGTCCCTATAAGCCCCACTTACCTTGAGGCTTAGTGTGTTGGTTATTGGCTGGCTGTGTACACAAACCACTAATCTCTTTTTGTCATCGAGCTCCAGTTCAAGTCTGTCACAAATACTATCCCTCGGTGCCTTTTACCAGCGCCTTATCACAAAGGCCTTTTTTTAGCACCAGTCTCGTGGGCGCTGTCTGCCGAACCCTCTCCAAGCCAGCTGTCTAGTACAGGGCAGTTGGATTCTTTGCAGCATCCATAATCAAACAAATGGATTGTTTTCATAATACCCACCACCAAGCTCTTCACTCACCTGGGCTTTTCTCCTTTCATTTACTGCGTTTCTTTACAGCATTATAAAATCAACAGCAGCGGTTCATTATGTAGCACAATCAGTACGACACTTATCTTCATCCAGTGTTATATCCTCAAATAATAATATACCTGTTGGTGGACAGACTGACATCTGGATGTGCTACAAACCATGATTCCCTGAGGTGCATAGTCATATGACTAAAAATGTGCACATTTGGACCACTCAATGAGTTGTATGACCTACCACATGCGTTAATTTAGAGGCAAACCAATTTCCACATCAATGCATATAATTACAGTGGTACCTTGGGTTACACACGCTTCAGGTTACATATGCTTCAGGTTACACACTCCACTAAGCCAGAAATAGTGCTTCAGGTTAAGAACTTTGCTTCAGGATAAGAACAGAAATCGGGCTCCGGCGGCGTGGCGGCAGCAGGAGGCCTCATTAGCTAAAGTGGTGCTTCAGGTTAAGAACAGTTTCAGGTTAAGTACGGACCTCCGGAACGAATTAAGTACTTAACCCGAGGTACCACTGTATTAGCAGTTCATGATTCCTGAAAGCAGATTCGTGATTTGCTGAAAGCAGGGATTTCATAAATGTAGCAGAGTTTCCAGTGTTTAAACGGCATCACATGATTACCCCCTAGAACCAGTAATGAAGAAATGAAACACTTTTATTGAGGTGAAGAAGGACCACAGTTTTAGTAACTTTATAATCAGAATCTTCAACAGTTAACTGGCTTTTCATAATACAGGTGACTCCCCACTTATGCGGGGGTTACGTTCCAGCCCCCACCCCACATAAGCAAAATGAGAGTAAGTGGGGAGCCTACTGCAGTACATACAGATTCCGGCCGAACAGCTGTTGAGCGGGGTAGCACAGCAGCAGCAGTAAGAGCTCCCATGTGCCATTTTGGAGCCTGGACCTTTGGCTTACTGGCATCCTGTTCTGACTCTGGGGAAGGTATCCTTGTGAGCTACAAGGATTTTCTAGCTCTCTTTAGCCATTTCAGCTTAGGATTGATTGATTGATTGATTGATTGATTGATTGATTTCCTGGTGCAACGCGTATATGCAGTCGTACGAGAGTCGATTGCGCACAAGTGGGGCCAGATGTCTGTACTACATTCCCAGCCCCAGTGGAAGTAACTATTTGCTCTGTGGCAATGCACACCATTTTAGTGCAAGCCTCAGCCCAAAGTTCAGGGCAAGTTCATCCTGGCTTTTGCATCTCTTTGCCACAATGCAGACATATTTTACATTTATTTGGATCATTGTGTTTCTTGGATACAGAGCTCCTGTGACCTGAACTCCAATCTCAGTGTGTTCCTGCTGTTTGAGGAGAAATACTTTGTCAAGGTCTCCTTCTCACTGTGGCACCTCTCTCTGGAGGGTCGGAGAACTCCTTGTAACAGTGTGGGAGAGAGCACCGGGCGGGGGGAATTCTGGCGGAAGAAGGAGTACAGTGGTACCTTGGGTTACATATGCTTCAGGTTACATACACTTCAGGTTACAGACTCCGCTAACCCAGAAATAGTACCTCGGGTTAAGAACTTTGCTTCAGGATGAGAACACAAAGCGTGCTCCGGTGGCGCGGCGGTAGTGGGAGGCCCCATTAGCTAAAGTGGTGCTTCAGGTTAAGAACAGTTTCAGGTTAAGAACAGACCTCTGGAACTAATTAAGTTCTTAACCCGAGGTACCACTGTATATTAAATTCAGCCAGGAAGAGGCTCCGCTGGAATAGATTGCAGTCCCTTCTGTGAATGGAAGGAGTTCTTCCGTTCATCCAGCCCCATACCAGTAGTTCTTGAAAAATATACTCAGTAGCAGCAGAAAAAAATGATTCCCGTTAGAATTTTTAAGTCACTGCAGCTTTCAGGTAGTTATTATTTAGTATGTTAGCATGTGAAAATGATTTTCTGCACCCACCTTACTACATCAAAAGTGGCCATGCAGACTGGCCCTTAGAACCAATTTGTAGAAGCAAGCTGCTGCTGCTGTTGCTGTGGTTGTTGTTGGCCTGAGTCTTATTGGGGTTCAAGGGTAGAGTCTGGTAGGTGGGTTCTGTGGCGTCTTACTTTGCACAGTTGTTATGCCACTCTTTCTTTTGCAAAAAGAGCAGTGGCGTGGCCTTGAAGCCTCAGTTTATTGCTATTCAGACTGCCCCATATCATCTACTTTCTTCCTTTTTTAATGTGCTGCAGATGTGTTGTCTTAGGAAAAGAAGAATGTACTACATTATGTCTGTAGGACAAAGAGTAACTATGCTTCCTCCCCCTTCTCTTCAACAGCATCTGCAATCCCTGATAATGGGAGGAGGTCCTGTCTAAAGCTAAAAGTCTTTGTACGGCCTGCAAGTAAGTTATTTAGATCTTGCTTAGAGGGTGGCTTAATAGCACATGCTTTGTTTGGTCTGGTAAACAGCAGTAAAAACTTCTTTTTTTACTCTTGAATCCTGTGTGGTATCTGTTCTATATAGCGGCTTTTTTGTTTTTGTTTTCACCATATCTTTTTTATCATTTTTCACAAAGCTTTTACTCTTATTTGTTTCAAGTACACAGCAGTTGCTAACTTGTTGTTTCTTAGACTGTTGTACAAAAAGACAATTATTGTGGCGTTTGGAAGCATGCCACAACTAAGAGATACATACATATAATAGAAATAGAAATCACATAGAGCAACAACAACAACAACGAAAAGGAAAATGGGGGATTTAAGGGTGTCTCACTAACATATTTGGCTGTTATCTCTATTTTTGTTATAGACAACTGTATGAAAACTATAGGTGTTCATGACCGTGTTTTCGATGTTAACGACAAAGTAGAAAATTCATTAGAACCAGCAGGTTAGTATGCTTAGAGAATCTCTTTTAACAAATGCCTCTATCCTCTGGTGCGTCTGCTTCTCTTCCCTTCTTTCTCTCTGCATAGTTTGCATGGTAAAATGACTCTGCTTTTACTCATTTCCCGCAATGCTAATATTGCTTATGGTGTTTCTCATTTGCTAGCGCTAGTATTCTTGTCCAATGGATGGGAGGCAAAGTATGCTTTTTCCATGACAAATTATTTAATCAAACATGGCATCCCAATTTTTAAAAAATTAGCAGTTCCTCTGTCCCCATTCCCACCCCATTTTTGCAGTAAGTTGCCGCAACACCACAGTATCCATTCAGGACATAAATAATTAAGAGAGGAAGTGTGTGTGTGTGTGTGTGTGTGTGTGTTTTATATACTTTCGATATTGTTTACATGTTTACATATCTATGTATTTAGAAGCATTTAAACCAGTGGTTTCCCTGCCCACAACAAGCAATTGACCATAACATCATTGATAGGTCAGTTGTCCAATGGGTGGACAGAATCTTATAAATTTAATAAAGCTACCTTTCCAAAAGTGTCACGTTTTGATCTATATGGTAGAACAAATATGCAATAAGTTCTACTGGTTAAAATCAAAATTATTTCAGGCTTTAAAATGAGAACAATGGCTGTATATCATTCTGTACCTTTAAACTAATAGCATATGTGAAAGAGTTGTCTACAAGTGTTCATAAAGGTCCTTGTGCAAATGAGTATTACTATTCAGGCTGATCTCGATGGGAATATATCTGTATGCTTTAAAAGACTGCCTGCAGTACAAATGCTTTCATAAATATGAATAAGATATACATACACTTGGAAGTTTTGCTCTGTAAATTTAGAGTGCAATCTTGTTAATTAAATGCTTTTAAATTTCTTTGATTCAATGGGATTGAGTTAAGCCTAAACAGAACTGTCCCCATTGAAACCAATGTACATAATTATAGCTGGAGCTCATTAAAATATGCATCTCTATAGATGTTTTATGTGTGCATGGATTTATATATGCACTCTGCCAACTAAATATATGTAAACTCTTTTTTTCAAATAATTACTTGCAAACACATTTTTTTTGCAATCCCGTCTGTAATCAGTTACCTCAACACAATTTTTTTCAGTTCTGTTTTTATAGTGAAAATATTAAAGAACTTTTGAAAGCTAAACTGTCTACTGAACATGAACGTGCCTGTGGACATTGCTTTTACATGAGAGATTTTAATCATTATCCATTAAATACAGAATCTTAGAGTGAGCCTATATGGCTAGTTGATAATTGTATTTGTATTCTAGGCTGTGGGGTGGAAAATTTATTCTACCATACTTGAGTATACTCTTGCCCTGTAAAAGAAACATAGTCTTATCCTAAGGAACTAGGAAGTTTTATTAGTCCCTATCACAGATAGTTAATGAAGAGGCAACTGTTTGCAAGGGACAACTATTTTGTGCTATATGTTCTATTACTGATTTGTCTCTAAGAGCCAGTGCAGATATAACACACCGGTCACTTAATCATTGTTAAGAGATTAGAAGTGGCCCATGGAATTGCACATTTTCCTTCCAGCCATTGCTCCTTGCATGTGAATTCTCTGTTGTTGTTTTACCACAGATGATGCTAACTAGGATATCTCTTAACCATGGTCTGCTAAGCAGCTTCTCCATGTTTAAATCTGATGCTGAAGTCAGCTTTAACCGTGATTAAAGAAGAAAATGGATTTTATACACAAGAAGGAGCTTGGAAAGGCTTAGGTCTGCATTGACTCAAACGCACAAACAGCTCTATAGTGACACCTAGTAGCAGAGCACAAGCATTGCAACAGAACTTATCAAAAATCACATTCTTTTGAAAGATGGCTTTATATATTTCCCAAAAACCTCAAAGGAAAAATAATAATATAATCCCCACCCCGCACCACTGTGTCACATTCCTAAATTATTTTAGTAGCTGAAAAGCATATTTGCTGATGCTCTGCGGTTTGTTAAATTTCCTTTTAAGCTCTGCCCCCTCAAATTACAACGTAACGAGCTATGTTCAGTCTGATCAACATATCTACAAATTATGTCTCATTTGTACAAGCTACCACAAGCCTTGATTGGTAGCAAGCATTAGGTCCTACAAACCATGTCCTACTATGACACCACAGTAATGTACACACACATTTATCAGCATTGAAAGAGATATTATCTTTTTAAAAAGGGTGAATGAAAAGTTATTTATCTTTCACTTTCGAGTGCATTTTAAGGCTCCAAATTATTCATTGAGTGCTGGATATCTAACTCCCACACACCTGACATCACATATGATGTCCGTTGTGTGGCAAGTGGGCATGGGTTAGGGAAAACAGCCTCACAGGCCAAATTGGGGCACATGACAGACCTAATTTTGCCTGGAGGCCAATGGTTCTCTACCCCTGTGCTAGCAGAGAGTAGAAATTCAGTGGGGGGGACGGGACTTTTCAGTTGTCTCAATGACTTCATAGAAAAGAATGAGAGAATCAAGCTCCACCTTCCATTATCTGAGCCTTGTTTTTAATCTGAGTTCTCTACACTTTCCATTTTTTCTTAACAGTTTAAAAGTAGCTGAACATGCATTTATCAATCCCTTCAACTTTTGAATATGAGCTAATCCATTGTGAACATTAGGTAGAACCTGAAAGCTTCATTACCACCTCATTCACTCACCAGAGGAGAAAGGACCCCTTGCCATCATTATCCTGACAAATTTGCCGAAGTCTGTTTATCAATGCAGAGTAATTATAGTGGCATTTAACTCCTGACACAGGACACAGGTGACATTGGTTTTCATCACGCTGGTATATCAGGGTGTTGCTGTTGTTTCACTCTTACAGCCAAAACCTTTGTGTTGGCCGGCTACTGTCCACCTTATATTTAAAGCATTTATTTAAAAAGACTACTACTTGCACTCACAAATGAGAATTTAAATACTTTCAAAAATGCTTTTATCCTGTTTTAGATGTCATTTTTCCATAATGGAAGTGCCTTGGGCTGGAATTTATCAACTGTTTGAAACTTAAGCACATAGGCGGCCCCAGATGTACTATGGCAGCTGCTCAATTGCAAGGCATTATGATTAAGATACTACGTTAGACACAAATGTGTTATAGCAAAGCAAAATCAAACCAGTTCCAACACACACTTCTCAGTATCGATAAACGTAAAATACTTATGCAAAAAGTTCAGTTTCCATAAAAGTCTAGAGCAGTTGTGTATCATTGTCAGCTTTATCAGTAAGAATGTTCCTCTTCTGAGCATGAAGATCCTAAAATGCCCAGGAATCTGTTTTGCAGAAGAGTGGCGAAACCATGTTAATGAGTCATTAGCGTGTGGTATCTAAACACAATGCAAAATGTTGGTAGAGTGAAGAAGAGTAGGTGGTGCAGGGAGATGCCTAAATGAAAAGCACATTTACGCTGACGCAGAGGCTTCTTTTGCATGAGGAAGTTTTCATACAATCAAAGCCTTCCTCCCACCTTTGATGACAAGGTAGCTCCACCTCTGCATCCCTGTTGCCGGTATAGGGCAACAACAACTACTTTGAAGTTAATGGAGAAGCCACATTGCAGCATGTACAGAGATCTGGAGCAGGGCCAGCTCCCATCCACAGAGTATTTTCACAAGATTACCTGAGAAGATATTTGATAGTAATTCCCAGCTCACTAACAGTTTGCTATTAACATGCTGCTTCATTAACAGGGACAGTCCCACTGAGTTTTGTTGCATGCTGTCTAAACTGTGTACTAACATGCTAGTATTGTAGTGTATGTGTCTGGTTTGTGTGCTCTCCTTTTGTCTGTTACGTGTGGGGTGGGGACAAAGGCAGTTGCCCAGCAGTCAAATTTCTTCTTTTATTCTGCCACCACCACCTTTCCTCCAAAGTAACTTAAACAAAAATTAGTTAAAATCAACCCATTCCAATTAAAATAAGATTTAAAATGAATAAATAAAAATAGGAGCAGCAGCCAATTTAATAACATCAACCAGTAATTGTATACAGCAATCTTCCAGAAATTTAATGCCAACTGAAACTTTGGCAACTGAAATTTTATTGAAGGGTTCATTGTATGGGTTTGAAATGAACCTAAAAAGCTGGCAGCCACGCATCTGACTTCCAAAATTGGTTGTTCCCACAGTAATAGATGTTTCTTGGGTAACCACCTTGTTTACCTACCCATCATTGCTTAATAATTGGAATTATATCTAATTTATGGTTCCATACATTTTGTACAATATCAAAAATAAGGCGGAAACTGAATAGTTGAAACTCATAATTCACAAAGTAAACATTTTAAATTTTATTTTTAGGGCAGTAATTTCAGAGAGGGTTTACACCAGCAGTTTAATCAACAATAACATGCTACCATTTAAATTCATGGTTTATCTCTGCTTAGCTCTCTAATAAACTATTAAGCCAAGATGGGCAACTTGACTTCATTCTGCCTCCTAAAATGTAGGATGTGGCAGTACATTGAAGAAGACATCATCGGCTCTCATTCTCTAATGTGAATTAGTACTTCTAGGTGCTAGGGGTTTCTTGGAGAAGCTTTGAAGCAGATAATCTTGGTGGGCCCATACAATATTAAAAATGTGAGGGCTCCAATAAGACCCCATAAAAGAACATAAGGACCAGGATGTTTAAAAGTGATTCCATTTGAGTCTGCCCATTCATTAAGGTTACCTGGAGAAAAACTATTCCCCATCCAAGCCAAATCTATGTTGCATTTAGCCAGCGTGCAAGAGAGAACCTTCAAGATGGCATCTCTGAGGTTCTGATACACTCTAGCAAGAGTGAATCTGCCTCTTTTCTGCTACCAGTGGGCGAAGACCTCTCTCTTGCAGCTGTCATTTGACCCACTAAGTTTTTAGTTGTTGTTTTTTAATATTCCCATTGTGGTTTTTGTAAATTGTTCTTAATCTTCTCAGTGTGGTTATTTGTAAGTTGTTTCATTTGCCATTCTTATCTTTGTCTTTTACCTGCCGTTAATTTTGTATTTTATTATGTTTCTATTGTCTTGTTTTCATCTTTTTTAAAACAGAAAAGCAGGGCTTAAATGTTCATGATACATCAATAAATAAACTCATGCATTCAGGATCTGTTTTATGACTAAAGTGAGATTTTAAGCACTGGAGTTGAAACCAGTGCCTTGCTTTTGCTAGCTTAATTCAGATGAATCAACAAAAGAATGCACTTTGAGTTTTTAAGTAACTTATGGGCCAGTTCAGAATGTGTTAAGTATTTGGGAAAAATTTTTAAAGTTCTTCTACCATACTGGGGATTTTACTCAGGGATGCAAGTTCATAAAACTTGTTTTAAAAATTTAGCCTGAAGTATCATATACAGTATAGAGAGTGTTTCGAATCTGAACATTTTTCTGACACCCTAAACTGATCCAACTAGTATGTCTGACATATTCAATAAAAATTAACATGACTAATATTTTCTCTGTTAAGAATAGCTGATATGTACCCTGAAATTGCATCTGACTTTTTGTTATATCATTGAGATGTGTCAAAAGAGAAATAGAATATTCTGCTCTACCTGTTTCACCACTAATAGGTATTATTATTAATAATAATAATTTTATTTATACCCCCATCTGGCTGGGTTTCCCCAGCCACTCTGGGCAGCTCCCAGCAAAATAGTAAAAACACAATAAAACATCAAACTTCACTAACCAGGGCTGCCTTCAGGTGTTGAGTAACTTAAAGACAGTGTTGTTAATCTAAAGCTTTCAAATAGGCATGCTATGATTCTGGAAAAACAAATTTGCTCATAACTATTTAGCACCAGTAGTTTTAGAATTAGAATCACAACTCCATTAGAGTTAATATTACAAACCACAAATTCAGTACACTTAAAAGTCGCACACACAACTGCATCCTTTACAGGCCTTTTTAGTTCTTTTCTATATGAATACTTACAGGGTTAAAAGCTTCAGTGCAAATAGAAGCTAACTTAGTATAAATCAGTCTTGCTCAGTATCGTCTACACCAGCTTTTCCCAACCTTGGCTCCCCAATCCTTGGTCCTGCTAGCTATGGATGATGGAAGTTTAAGTCCAACAACATCTGGGGACCCAAGGTTGGAAGAGGGTGGTCTACACCAATTGGCAACAACTGTCCAGGATTTTAGACAGAAGTCTTTTCTAGTCCTACCTGGATTGAACCTGGGACATAACCCATGCAAAGCCACAAGCTCAGCCACTGCGCTATGACACGTGGATACTTTCACATAGGCCACCTGACTTGTTCCACTATTGTGGTACTTAGGATTTCTCTAACATGCACCAGTAGTTATGCACTTCCCATCTCCTGAGCTTTTTAAAGGGTAAAACTAACAGAATTGTCATCTCCACACAATAAGCCTAGCATTCCAATAAAATGCAGTCTTCTAATTGTGCCATGGAGAACAAGTGTTGTATGAATGGTAACATACAGTTGAAGCACATGCTGATTTGGGGGTAATGCAACTGGGACAGAGATATTAATGCACAAGACTATGCCAGGAATTGAACACATGCCTGGTATTTCAGCTAGCAGCTTTTTGCTCACATTGATTGTGATATATATATATAAATTTAGAGAGAGAAATGTATGCTGAATGTGCATCACATGTGTATAAATGATGGGGTGTTGTGGTTTTTAAAGCCCCACACAGTACAAAATCTGATTTTCTGTATTGTACTGAAATGCTGGAGCTGTAATCTCGAGGCTCATTAAAGATGCAATGCTTCATTAGAATTTGTGTGTTCTCCCCCCCCCCCCATTTGAACAGATGATACCGTACATGAGTCTGCTGAGCCGTCCCGTGGTGAGAACGCAGCACAGAGACCGAGGATATCCAGTCGGCTTTTGGCAACCCTCCTGTTCCTCCTGGCAATGCTTTTGACGTTATAGCACATATTATAGTAATCTGTCACAGACAACATCAGGGTCTTGGAACATCAAAGATCCGCTTAATTGCTCATCCCAAGAACGGGACATTATATTGGTTTTGCTGATGTTGGTTTGTTTCCCTTCCCCAATCTCCTCCCCTTCTTCCTCTGCAACCTGAACTGTGAGCAAAAATTGAAGAGGCATAACTAGCCCTCTTGCCACTCCCGATCTTCCCCGTGGCTTTCCTTGACCCCTTCTAAAATAAAAGGACTCCAAATGAAAATGCCAAATTTCAATATTGACACTAGTGATTCTTACGTTCTCTGCAGCCTCTCTTAAGATACCGCCTCGGTTAGCTCTCTGGGCCCACCTGTATGTGGAGAAGGAAGAATAGTAGCAGGTGCAGTCATTTGGAAGATAAGGAACTTGTTTGGAAAACCAAGAGGAGTCTTTATTCACTCCGATACAATATTTATGTCTCCTCGTTGAGCGCTGTAAGACGATCATGCAAGGCACTGTATCACCATGTCAGGACTGGAGGGGAGATACTGAGAACAGATATAGCGTAACGCCATTCCCTCCAGGAATTTATCAATGAACAGGCTTTTCTTAGGGAAAGAGATACTGTTTTGTATGCAACTGCCTTGAAAGATCATTCACAGTAGAACTTATGCTCCACAACAGACACTCTTGTCATCAGGGGAGAAGAAAGTGGCTACTGAGGAATGCTAGCACACAAGCAAGGTCAGATAGAGGAAGCTTTGCTGGGGTGTGAGTGCCTCTGGTATCTCTCTAAGTGGATAGTGCACACCAGATTATTTTTCTTTTGAAACAGATCACCATGGTGCTACAATATTTTTTCTTCAAATGCAAAGAGGCATTTTCTGTTCCTTTTTCTTCTTCTTTGTGTGAATAAAGTGACCTTTCCCAAGGCTGATTTACTAGCCGGTAGCCTTCGATACCACTCTTTAAGCGATGATACATGCTAGGATGATAGCAGCACCGGGTGGAGAAAACATGGTCAGAGATGCAAAATCTCCAGGGTGCTCATGATTTGCCTCCCTTTGAAAGTTTGGCAACCACTGGAGTAAACTCCTGCCAGAAAGGGACCAGGAGGGCTGTGGGTTAGGGAGAATGAAAAGGTTAGGAAGAGCGTGTTGAACTCTGGAGTGAACGTTGAGGCATTGGTTTTGTAGCTCTCTTCCTTTCCAACACAGTTGAAAAGTGGAAGAAATACCTTTATCAGCAGGAGGATACGTAGGTGGACTCCCAAAGACCTTGAACTAAATATTTTTTTGAAAACCCACTAGAATAGAAAATGCATTATTTAGATATACCAAGTAATTATATATGCTTGTCCTATTTAAAGATGATAAAAGTGGTCAGAGGATTATGGGGTGCTGTCTTGTTTGGTTGGAATCAGGGCTGAACCCTTAGGCACCTGAAAACTACTTTGTTAGGGACTAATAAAAACCATTTACCAGGAAATGCCTTCCTTGTGGGTTTCCATTGGCTTAGGCAGGCGTTGACTTGCAGGAGATTGAGTAGACATCATGGAAGTGATTGTTTTGGAAAGTTGACTTTTACCGCAAACTCTTGAGAACAAAGCCTTACAAGAATGCGCTAGATTCCGCAGGACAACAAAAAGTGTAATTTAATACTAAATCATGATGCAAATGGACAGCATTTTGTGAATGTTTTTTGTTTGTTTGTTTGTTTAAGAGAGGAAAGCAGGATGTGTTTTTTTTTAAAGAAAAAAGTTGAAGGGTTTCACGATCCAAAAATAGCAGAAAGTAAATTTAGAGCACTCTGGGGCTTGCCTGATACCATACAGTATGGGCTGTGTTTGAAAGCACAGAGACATCTAATACCGCACACTAACAGCCTATGTGGAGAGATGGCACTGTCCTTACATTAAATGAATCTTCTCTCTTCAGTATAATGCACTTGGTGCACATATATCTCAGAAATGGCAGTGCACAGGTAGCTAGCAAGTAATGACCTTGGAGATAGTGAAAAAAGTCATGGCTGTGGAGCACACCGGATAATGTCCCTGAGATGGTTCCATGCCAATTGCAAACATGAGTAGTACTGATTTGATGTCCTAACGATGACTGTAGCTGTTTTCCATAATTCATCTATAAATAATGAAAATCTGGACTCACTTCTGTCTCGAGAGCACGCTTCTTTTTAGCAACACGAAGTTTTCACCACAGTGAATTCAGCCCTTTGCTTTGCCACAGTGCACTGCTAACCTAACAAATAAAGGCGGCACTGCCTTACAGCAAAAGTCGCTGACAACTGCTCAACATCCAGCGCAATCCTTGTGGGCAGTCATTTTGCAGGACCGCTGCTTTGGATACTTAATGGCATCAGGCAATCTCAATCATGCCAAACGAGCAACGTCTAAAGGTTTTTTGAATCTCTCTGGTGTGTGTATGCGTGTCGTTTCGACATCTTGAAAAAGATGCCAGTGTGGAAGTTTACAGCAGCCTTTGTCCCCCGGCGTGAAGTCCGAAGAGCCAAATTCCGCTACGGCAGCCCCTGAGCCCAGGCAAGTGTGCCCTATGCCACCCCCCCCCCAGTTTGCCCGAGGGCTTTGCAAAGGGTAGCGGGGAAATAAGGATTGATCTGTTTGGTGGATACTGTGTATCCTTTAATAGACGACAAGGTAACATTTCGTGTTAGTTTAGAAATAATTGTTTTGTACTGTACTTTCTTGGATGGCAAAGGAAAGACGAGTTAAAACAAACAAAATGCTTTGTTCTTTAAATTCTGTATTATTAGCAGCCTCTGTTGTATATAGTGTTTGATAATAAAGTATTAATTTGATTCTTATGTCTTTTGTAAGTGAGAAAATAAATAGACTTTCATGATATTAAAAATTAAATAAAAGAAACGCACCCCCACTGATCATATGACAGAAGCATTCACTGTGGCGACTGAGAACCAAATGGCAAGTAGTCGCAACAAGTCACCATTCAGAACTCACCCATGAAACCCATGCACCCAGACGCTCAAGATTTCACGATGTCAAGACTTGGAGCCGTGCGACATTTGATGCTCGATATTTTGTCCTCAGTGTTAATGTCCTGACGTTGGAGCCCTGTGATGTTTAGGCTTAACCTTCCCCTTTGGGGTTGAGTTAGCATGTTGGTTCTCAATGGCTTTGGGATTCTTATTCTTATTTCTTGCGAGGATGGTTTTCCTTCTGATTCTTTGTCTTTTAAAAAAAATTCTGTTCATGGATGGTTTGTTTCAAAAGGGGCCTTGCCAGCATCACATGTGATGTTTTACAGTGACTGGAGTGCCCTCACACCAAAAAAATAAAGCCAACAAATTTGAGAGGGGCCATATGTAAATAATTTTCTTTCCTGTATAACCACTGCTGAGGGAAAGAAACAGTAGCTGTTGAGGGGATGTGTTTGGTTGTTTGTTTTTTGTTTTTTTTTAAAAAAACTGATATTTATCAATTGCTTTATCAAAGCAGCGGCTGTGTCAGTTTTGAAAAATATGGAACTCATTCATACTGCTGTCAGATTATGTGTATTCATCAGTCTTACTTCCCAAATGCCCTGCATCAGATGTGTTCTTTTCCCTCCCCATTCCGTAACCCTGGCAAGTTTCTTTTTTTATATATATCTCCCCCCACCCACCCTGTTTAAAATTTGGAGCAGTGAATGGGCAGATCTGTTTCTGATTTGGCATTACCAAGTTTTTCCCATGCATTCACCCCTGAGTTTTTCAGATGTGAGACAAATCTCCCTACAATAGACTCGCTGCCATTGTCTGTACAGTTTAATAGATGCTGGCATGTTGGAGGTTACCCATGAGTCTACAAAATCCGCTTTCCATACTTACTCTTGACACCCTATTGAAGCCACTCATTGTGTGTCCTTCTGGGTATGAAAGTCCAGCTCAGTGTGGTCCTGTGCTTGTACTGCCCTGCTTTTGCAGTTTCTTTGCACTTAATTCATTGAGTGCTGTTCTTGAAATGCTTACACTATATGAACTTAACAGAAATTGTAAAAACGAAACAAACAAACCCATAAGATCTGTATTTGTATATACACGTGTCCGTACAATTATATCTGAATAAAAAAAATTAAAGATTTTCATCATTTTAATGGATTCTTTCAGGCTATATTTTTGTTTGCTGAGTGACATCTTTGTTTCAGGGCCAGCTGTCCTCCATCCTATAAATGTTTTCGGGCAGCGGAAAGCTGCAAGGAATACAGCACTTCACAGCTGCGAAACAGTTGCAATGCAATTTCTGCTTGGGCTAAATGGCTGGAGCCATAGCTGCCAGGATCCGGCCAGATCTGTACCTTGGCTACTGTCACATTCTCTGCTCTTCCCTCCCACTTCCAATCCAGTCATCTATTTAATTATAAACTTTCTGGTGTGACAATGCATACTATTGTCTAGGCCATGGGGGAGGCTCACCAGATGTTGCTGGACTACAACTCCCATCAACTTGGACCACTGGCCATGCTGGCTGGAACTGATGGGGCAGACTAAGAACATCTGGAAACTCATAGGTTCCCCACTATCCTAGATGCTGGTGGTAAAAATCCATCTAGATGTTCTCTGTCCAGTTTTCCTCCCCAGTGTTGAGCACTTGGTATAAAGCACCATATTCTTTGTACCATGGAATGGTGTGGTCTATGGGACTGCAAACAGGGCAGACAACACATGGCTCCCCTTTATCCATAGTGCCCTTGGGTTCTGCAAGCTTCAAAAGTGGTCTTGGGGAAAATTCCCAGCGCATCTGCAGACATGGCCTCTGTATTCTCTTCAACTCATCCTCCAGGTGAGTTCTGAATGCTGAACTATCCCTCAAAGATCAGTTCAGCTTGGGTAACTCTGTGCATCTCCACAACATGCAAGTACACAACATGCTAGTGCAGAGTGGTACCTTTTCACATCCATTTTTAATCAAAATAAGAGTTTTGGAATGTTTGGCATTTAAAAAAACAAACAAACCTTGAGGAGTAAACCTGACTGGAGGCTCATGGGAAACAAGGACTGACACAAGGGTTCCAGTACCAGTTGTGACGAAGATGAAGGAATTGCCTCCCATCATTCACCACTCCACCAGCAATTGTTACATATCCTTCACCACCGCTAGGGCGAGTTCCTGAAGACCTTGATATGCTGGCATTGGCAAATGGATTGCGAAAGATCTGAAGGGTGTGTAAGAACTTCACCTGAAAAATAAGGTTGAAGGGGTGACACACAGAGAAGGCAGCTGATACACACACACTGCATTTCAAAATACAAGGTTTAATTACACCCGTGTTAGCGTTAACCGCCATGAAAGCTTTTTATTACATTTAATTGGTTGACAGGGCAGCAAGTACTAATTATAACTTGCTGTGACTTCTCTTTACAAATTAGGAGTGACAGCTTAGTGAGAAGAGGAAGAGAGGCGTATGCATGTTTAACACAAAAGTACTGGTGTGCTGAACCTTTGTCTCTGGAAGTGTGAATGTAAGATTATAAATGACACATGTTTGGTTTGTCTTAACATAATAGCCCCAAATTATACTGCGAGTTTCACAATTACTGGTCATTGCTCTGTAGGCACTGCCTGGATGGAGAATGGACTTTGAATTTTGGATGGAGAATGGCATTAATAGTTTTCACTCTCATCTCCATTCCTCTGTCTTCAGTGAGACCTCCAACATTTCTGTTCCCACGTGGTTAAAAGAGGCCTTGTAGGATCTAGCGCCTTGATTATAAGGGACAATCTTAAGCATTATTTGCTTGGAAGTAAGCTGAGCTCCCCTTTTTTAAAAAATTGAACTTGCTTCCAACTAAGAGTGCTTAGAATTGCAGTCCAATGATTGAAAGTTGAGATGGGGTGGAGGAGCTATGTTGCTTGGTTGATATAGAAGAATCAAGCAAACTAAAAGAATGTGTGCAGTATTGAATCTTTTTGTCAATGGCAATCGCAGATGTTCAAATTGTGTAGACTTAATATAAAACGAGGGCCTCAGAATTGTGTCAGGCCCCACTCCCTGATGTATGTACATTTACTCTCCTGAACGTCTGCATAGCTCCCTATGTGTACCTTTGAACACATGTTGATCATATACAGATATTCAACTGAATTCACATAGGTCCCTCATGCAATCTGAATTTCTGCATAGGGCTATTACTGTGAGTGCATAAAAAACCCAAAATCTGCAGAAAACAAAACCATTTGTCTGGGTTCGCTGCTCTTCCCCCTGCAGCACTCACGTTTTTTATGTGTATCTCTCTTTTTTGCCCAGTGTGAAGGAGCAGTCAAATGATCTTCCAGCTGCAGTTTGAAATCCTCCTCCCAACTGCTATTTTTCTCCTAGGGTGTTGTTGACTGCAAATAGCAGCTTTACAGGGCAAATACCAGCTTTGGATTGGGTGATTTTTCTTTTAGTAGGAAGCTGGTGTTGCTTTTTCCTCAGAATATAAGTGGTCAGTTTAAGATCACTTTTATAAGGAGGAAGAATGATGATGCCATTTGGACTGGTGTTTGCAAGAGCTAGTGCTTAATGGATGATAAAGATTGTGCTGGAACCAGAATCCTAGGTAATATAGGCCTTAAAAAAAATAGAGCTTCAGATGACCACAACTTGCTTTGTAAGGAGAAAAGTAGAGTACTATTGTGAGGTACTTCCAATGATATGTCCCTAATCAAAGCACTGGCAGAAACCAATCTTCCAGTTATGCATGCAGATGTCTGGACATTTTGATTACTGCAACTGTTGGTTATGATAATATGCACGGTGTATTTCAGTGTTTAGCGCTTAATGCACTAGGACTGTAGTTTCATTTAGGATTTGGTAAGAAAAATCAAAGCTTCATTGGCATTTCACGAAAAGAAGCTCGATCTGTTTTCTTCTCCTGTGAAAGTACCGTCTCTAATTCTGTCACTCATAATCTTTGCAGAGGAATACTGTACGCCAGGCGACTTCTGCAGTCAATAATGCACTTTATAACATCCCGTTTTTCCTGTGATGATTATCCAAGTGAGTTCTGGTTGTCACCTGCCTGCACAAGAATGCCTGTCAATTCTGACAAGAAAACAAGAGGAAAAACAAGAAACAAGCTAGGTACATTATTGCAGTAATAAAAAGGCTACGCTGGCTACTTTTACGCACCCCCTTCTGAGGTTGATGAGGAAGACTTCATTCTGTTTACAATTAGATCTCCAGTTTCTTTCATGTTATTCAACTAAAAGAAAAAGGTGAGTTTTAAGCTTTGTATTTTACTTTATGTATTCTGCATAGCTGTTTCGTAGACATTCATAAAACTACCTTGGGGTGGGCATTCTTCCCTACGTGCTCTATTGTGCAGATATTAAACTGCTTACTGTGTGTGTTTGTGTGTAAATGATTTTATCAATGTCCAGCCTAATTTTTTTAATCATCACACTGTGCAGTGCAGCAAAGAGCAACACTGCACAAGTTTTTACATGGTTATGAATTTTAAAATAACAGGAAGGTCCAAATGTAGACCAGAGTAAAGTACTGTGATTTAAAATAATAATATTTTTAAATGAACATATCTGTAGGTCTGTGTATGTGTGTGTGTGTGTATGCATTAAACACAAAGTATAGAAAAAGGCCTGCATGCACACACACCTATAAACATCTATGTAAGTACGGTATGTTAAGAATCTTGATTGACTCAGGTTTCTGAGAAGTGTATGGTGCATGGGTATTTAAAAATGTGTGTTACCATATGCATCGTGTCTGCCACTTTCATAGTTGCTATGATAATCTATGAAATAGTTGAGAGACTGCCTCCTTCCCTACAGACCTTCTTGACTTAAGCTCAACTGATAGCGCTCTCTTGGTAGCTATACCAAGAGATTTGTGGGGTGGCAGACCAGAAAAGAGCATTCAATATGGTGTATGGAACCTTTGGTCCTCCAGATGTTGCTGATTTGCAGCTCCCATCATCCTTTGCCATTGGCCATGCATGCTGGGGCTGATGGGAGCTGTTGTTCACAATCATCTGGAGGACCAAAGGTTGCACAAACCTGCTGGAAGCTGTGGAATTCACTGCCCATGTATGTGTGTCTGGCATTTTCATTGTGTAGTTTACACTGTGGTGAAGATGCGCCTTTGACACCTGATGCATGCATACAGAAATATTTTAGGACCCACCCTGTTCTCTGGACTGTAATTTGTTTTATCTAATTTTAATATTGCATTTCTAAATAGTAAGCAGCCCTGGGACCACATGGTAAAGGTAAAAAAAATCAAATAAGTAAATAAACTACTAATACTAATAAATAATAATAATAATAATAATAATAGGAGTTTTTTTCAAAGTAAATGAAAAAAGCCTTCTGTACATTGCTATCAGAAGCCTTGCTATGCCTCCTTTAAATACAAGTATGTCAGCTTGATACCTAGTATTTCTCAAGTACTCTATAAAATCAGTTATATTTGACACAGTGTAAGCCCTTCAAATCAGTGTTTCAGTATAATGGAAGCAAAGTCAAAGTACATAAGAACCACTCTTTTTGTACAGTTGTGAATGAGAGAAATGCATCTATATTCTTTAAACCAGTTGCACCACCAGCATTATTATAATTAAACAGTCACTCATTTTACAAACTAAAACAAAAGGCAACATTAAATTACCTTTTTTGGTCAACTAAGCTATTTCTTTGATCTATTTTTTATTTCACTTTGCACATAGTCACATTTTTTTAAAAAAGCCTTATTTAAACATATTTAAGCAATTTAATTTTTTTAATGAAGTAGTGGTTTAGGACTCAGTTGAGACTAAAATGTTTGTTTGATTGCACTACTACATATGTTAAATTAGCAAAGCAACAGTGATCAATCGTTTTAGTGCAAGTTATTTCTGTGCAATGGTTACTTAAATAAATTTGAGTTTTGATTAGAAGTATGACAGAATTGGCTCCCAAGTTTAACACACCCACCCCAAAACACATTCCACTTTAGGATTTTACCTCATGTATCTAAGGAAATCCCAAATGCTTATGCATACACTGTTGGCTACCCTTCTCAAACTTATCTAAACAGTTCCTGTACCTCAAAGAGTATTTTGAGAAAAAGAACTAAATCAATGAAAACAAAACTGTCCCCAAACTCAAGAGTGCTGG